GTCCTTCAAACAGACTGCGCTCTTTCTCCCTTCAGGGTCTTTGCACAAGCTAATGCTCTTGGTGAGACACCTCCTTTCATGCCTCGTCCTTTCTCATTTTTCAAGTTTCAGCTTAAGTGACACCCACTTTGAAGCCACTTTCTCTGACAACATTATATAAAGGAAAATCTTGCATTTTCTTTGTTCTCTTGAGTCTAGTTGCTTTAATATTAATCTCAAACCTCTTCTTAAAATTTTAAATGATGGGGTTTTTTTTCCATTCTCTTTCTTTTACACTGGTTTCCTCATTAGATTCCACAAAAAAAAAGAACACTTATTTGGCCTTTCACAATTTTTTGCTTAGCTCGCATTTCAATGATTAGCATCGTACAGATGCGTAATAAATATTTTCAATCAATGAATGATTTTTGCTCCAACGAGCATGCCTGGTGTATGAAGAGTACAGAGTGTACTGTGTGTCTGTGAGTAAAACAAATGTTTCCATGGTGATATCTGAGAAAAATAATTGTTGAAATATTTGTCATTGCTCAATGAATGTGTAAGAACCAATTTTTCTAAAATCATGCTCATATCTATTATGTTCCAAGAATTGGTTAAATACATTTAGCTTTGAAGTGTGAATGACAATTTGTCTATTTTATTTCTTCATTGAAATCTGTCATTCCAGTGGTAAACAAACGCTATGTTGCTACAGTGTTAGTTAGACGTGAAAGTGGGTTTTAAAAAAAATTAAAAAAAAAACGGATACCAAATTGTTCATTCAAATTGCAGGGCTAATGAGGAAAAAAAAATACCCCATTGGGTTTATTTATAGTAACCAAGGAAACTCCTACATGAAGACTAATGGAGGTGAAACAGTCTGTTACATGATCAGCTCTGAATTGATTATTTCTTCTCTGAGTCTGAACAAGAGGCTGTGGCTCCCATCTAGAGAAATGGCAGGTGTTTGGATCTGTGTCAAGGAATCATCTGCAGCAAGTAACCCTGTTTCTGCCTCTGACAATCAAGATACTGAGAGCTGGGAGGATCATATCAGGGCGATGCAATAAACAGGAGGGCTTTGGAGGACCTTCCCGCCCACGCTGCTCACCAGGCTCTCTCTTTCATGTTCATGTCGGAAGGCAGTGCTGGCTGCTGTACAGGGGAATGCTTCTAGTTCCTTCACCTTTGTTACCTGGTCCTGCACCTGTCCGTTCTCTTCAGGCACAATCTGGTTTGGATACTTGAGAGATGCTTCTGTCTCGGGTGCAACTTGTCCTACTTTAAGAGATCTTTTCATTGAGAGAGCTCAATGTCCTCCCGTTTGTTTAGCCTCCATTCTGTTCACAGGATTGGAGGAATTTCTTGGAATAATTATTTACCCCATGCATAGCCAAACCCTGACACGTAGTTTCTATCCAACGACTAATTCCCTATCTGAGAAATGCACTGTCAAACATATCTTTTTTATTTTTAACTTGGATTTGTGAATGCATACTCTTACTTAAGCCTTACACATTAGAAGAATGTAAGTTATCTGTTGGGTTAACTGCAGGTTCTTCATTTACAAATCACTCTATGACAACATTATTGAATTAGATTCTAACAAATAAACTGACTGACTTATAAACAGTTATGTACAATATTTTAAAAGTAGAAATAAGCATCAATAAGAAAAAGCTATTATTATTTAATAATGTAACAGGGATATTTTAAAGACTCTAATGAAAAGCAGTTCAGGTGAATTTGGTGCAATGGCCTGTGAGCTATTATTCTCGGTGTTGGAATCTCTTCATTTCTTCAGGGAAATGTCACCTTTTACTTAGGTATTATAACAAGGCAGTAGGTGAGGCCAGTATTGTGGCATAGTGGGCAAAGCCTCTTTCCTGCAATGGTAAACATGGGCATTGGTGAGTCCTGGCTGTTCCACCCCCAGTGAAGGCTGGCTACGTATGCACCTGGGAAAGCAGTCAAGAATGGCCCAAGTCCTTGTGCCCCTGCACTCATGTGGGAGACCTGGACGAAGCTCCAGGGTCCTGACCTCGGGACTAGCCCAGCTCTGGCCTTCTTGGTCATTTGGGGAGTGAACTAGCAGATACACAACCCCTCTGTCTCTCCCTCTTTATAACTTTTTCAAATAAATAAATAAATCTTTTTAAAAAAGGATGCAATAAAGGCACTTATGATTTTCAATTCTACTTTCGAAATGACTCTACCCCCTGATTTTAGCACAGAGGCATCACAAACTAGAGAACAGTGCTGAGATGAATGGAACATGGCCTTCTTTAAGTCCCCCACATTTTGTTTTAAGTTCTGTTTATGTACTCAATTCCAGTGAAAAAGCAAATAATAAAAGTATTCTGTGTTTTCACACTGCTATTGGTTTTGTGAACTGTTTCAAGAACCTCCATCCCTAGCCATCTCAGGCCAGACTCTTTCTACAGACTAAGATTTGTAGTGGCTGATCCTCAATGATTGCTAACGGTCTCCAGCTGCACCACATCAAGGAGGCTGGTACTTCCCTAGTTCAGCCTTTGGTCCAGACTTTCCGGGCAAGCAAGACATCTGAATGTCACCTGTACTACCTGAGGCTTCACACGAAGGCAGAGGCTAACTGTTGAAAACAATGAGGTATCAATGAATTTAGTGCACATTTGTTTTATGACCTTTATTTTTCATGAATGTGTGACCATTTGATAATGAAAATTCTAGTTTCCACTGCAATCAGCCATGTGGATATGGTCTTATGAGAGATAATTTTAACTGTATTTAAGTTGAACCTCTTCAAGTGAACCCTATTTGATTTGCATAGCACATACACATTTAGAAAAACATGAAATAAAGAAATTAGATATTTGGCTATTAAAAATACCTCCAGGAGATATAAGGATTGAAATAGGAGTTCTAGCTAGCAGAAATGAAGCCAAACTTTCAGAGAAATTTTATGAACAACTGCTTGCATATCAGCCAGTTAGCTATATGTTCCAAAATGATGCTGAACGGTGGGAGATGTGATTCCTTCCGTTAACTCTCATTAAACATGCCTAAACATATTCACTACGGGGTAGGATGATGTAGCAGAAAGACCACATATGCATTTCTCCACAAAATGAGCCATTCATTTTGACTAGCAAAAAAACATAAAACAAAGAGCCAATGAATTTTTTTTTATTTGATCTTGCACAGAAAGGCGAGGAAATTATTTTTTTTTTTCTCCTGAACATAGGAAATACTACTGATAAGTCGTTAACACCTTAAAAACAGTCAAAATCCACAGGGTAGACCTCCTGACTCTTAGAGATCCGAGAAGCAAAGCCTTCATTGTGGAGTTTTGGAACTAGCAGCGTCATTGACTGTGCGGATTCGTGTGATGAGTACTGCATGAGGAATGGAGTGTTACTGAGGTTTCAAAGCATCTTATAGATTCTGTGTGATAGAAAAAAACGTCTAACGTGATTGGCTGCATCACACAGCAGTGATCCGGTTCACACAGCTATGTTTACGAAACCAACCTGCCATATTTTAACTAAATGCTGCCCATCAATCCAGCCTTCCAGTTCATTAAATGATATTCATTGAAATATGTGTACACACACACACACACACACACACACACACTCACATACACACTTCACCTCAAAGCATCACAAATGAAGGTGTTCAAAAATATATGATGGATAAAGGGGAATTTCACATAATAAAACTAAGAAACATTTAAGCTAGAATTAGAGCACTATGGATGTGTCTCTGATGTAGCTGAATATTTTGATGAGAACACAGATCTTAGGTGTTTAAAAAGTAATCAGTTATCCAAATCTCAGAATGAGTGTGTGTGTGTGTGTGTGTGTCTGTGTGTGTGGTGACCTTATTTTTGTAGTTGAAACAACGCTATTTTTTTTTCAGATGTGTGAGGTTAGTTTATAGGAAAATGCCCACAGTTTATCAGAGTTACGCATTGATCTTTTGTAATAATTAATACAAGCATGATGCTATGATGCTATTCCTTTCTTTAAGGGGAGAAAATATGACTCTTGTCAGGTAAGCTGCTTGGCAAATAGTAAGTTTAATTCCTAACACCCACATGAGGCACAAGAATAGTTGGATTAACAACTCCAGTGTCATGCTGTCAGCTGCTGTTTATTTAAATTAAAATGTCACCATCCAGAAATAAATTAGGAAGTTGAAAAATGATAAATTTCTTAAACATACAGTACTTTGGCACCTTGTTAAAATAAATCTGGTACAGTTGTGTTTTTGTAGAATTTTACATAGGCTATTTCCATTTGACATTCAGAATAGAGCAAGTTTTGCTTTTGTTGTATTTTTTTCCTGTTTCACAAATTTCGCTCCCTCTCGATCCATCCTTCATCCTTCCCACCTCCCCCACACCTCTTTACTCTTTGCCCTTCCTCCTGTCCTTTTACACTTTCTTTTTCTTCCTTTCATTATCACTAACTAAGCTTTATGAGGAAGTAAAAACAAATATCTTCACAATAACACACAACTGCTACCTGCTTAGTTGCATACCTACATCAGGGTATTCCTCTACGCTTAACTAACTACATCTACCTCTATAGTTTGTCACTTGCTACAATTGCGTTTAAGTCAGTTGTATTCTTGATTATACTATTATGTGCTTATTCACATTTGATACAAAAAACACCTGCTGTCCACGAGCCGTGTACTTGCTTTCTGTCATCTGAAGCTTAAAATTGAGAACCCATCGCCCTACGACTACACAGCATCATCTACAGCTCAAGACGGTTCAACATAGCGATTTGGCTCTGGATTAATGGCACAGCAGGTTGTTCCGCATTGCGAGCTTGGTCCTAAGTTGGAAGAACATTCACATCTGAGAAAGAAAGAAGGAAATACTCCTGGTCTGCTCCCACCTGTCTGTATTCCTTGCCTACGACTCGACACATAAGTGACGTGAATGCACACTCTATCGCAGGTTAATCAGATATTATGAGACAGCTGCATACAAACAAATTCAGCATTAGCAACATGGAGATATTTACTTGGCCGGCTTTTCCATTTTCACATAAAAATGCCTCATATTCGGATGCGAACTCAGGGGCGTTGTCATTGACATCCAGCACTTTAATAGCAACAGGTACTCGGGATATCTGACTGTGGTTCCCTAAGGGAAGGAAAAAATAACATCAGCATCGAGCGCATTGCATTGTCACGTGCAACTCAACTTTCTCCGGTGTGTCTGTTTCCATTCCCCTTAATCAGGATGCTTTCAACATGGCGGTTATGGAGTTGGACCACTCAATAAGAAAAAAGAGCTAGCTCTTGACTGCTTAGAAAAAAAAAATCAAACATAAATGATCATTCCGAACACCATTTGCTGGAGCTTAGCTTGATAAAATCCATGTAAGAATAGATTAGAAAAGGGCTTCCTGATGAAGCAAGCTTCATTTCTTTTACAAAATTCATTAAATAAATATATATATATATATATATATGCAACAAAAATTATTTATCTTTTATCTTGGGACAAATAAAGCCCACTTCCATGTTTGACTATATCAATTGGGTTGAACATGGAACCCAGCAAAAAAAGCCAGAACCAAGTCACTTATAGTAAAGACATTTTGGAAACTAAAACTTGAAGAGTACTAAAGAGTGGGAATCAGATACTTTTTAAAAAAGATTTATTTGACATTAAAAATTGACCTTGGACTAATTACATATCAGATAAATCCATGCTATGTTAGTATCATGATTCTTTCAGATTTTCATCAGCGTAAATAGATAACAATCTTGTAATCTATCCAGGTCATTCCAGTAGAATTTTAATCTTTTATATATATATATTTTCTATTAGTCCATTGCTGTCTTGAGTCCTGTTAAAGATTTTTCACATGCTTAACTCCAATTGCACTGCATTATGTATATTAATCTGCTACCAAATGCACAAAATGCACTGACAATGGCCAACTACATAGTTTAGCTTTTGTGACAGTGATTTTTTTGTAAGCATGCCGAGAGAAGAATCATTTGGTTTATGAAAGTTAACAGATTTGTATTTTATATCTGAAATACCATTTTTTAACAGTCAAAGTCCAGACTTCTAAGACCTTCTAGTCTTCATTTTTCCCATCCAACATGAAAGTACGTCCAACACACACAACAAATAATCACAGCTGCGGTAGAAACCTGCAGCTGATTCACCCTGTTGGCTGTGCTACAAGACGTGAATACAGTCAACTACAATGGCTACTATCCAACACTGCAATTTTGTTAACTACAGAGGACTAAATAAGAACCCACGAAATGTCTACCACTTGCACAATGGGATGTAATATCCCTTCTCAAAATCCAAGAAGACAGTGTCACATATCTGATCTTATAGACCGTTTTTCCTCCACTACCTGAAGATTAATGAATCCACTAAACTAGTAGCAAGAACAAAGGGTCCCGTCTCCCACAAGCTCTGGTTCCCTAACTAGGAAAGTTTTAGTACTTCTCCTTCCATCCTATCATCAATTGTTTAGACTAGGTTCCGGGCGACTGCAAGAGACAAGAATACCAGTTTCTACCAAGTATACCAGAAGTCGACTTTGAGCAAGGTGTGCCTGACAATACTAGCTTCCTGATCACCCTTCACATAGCTCAAAAGGAGTCACTTAATGCCGAGGGAGGTGAGCCAGAAAAGCAATGTTACCATATCCTTCTCTGCTCAAACTCTCAGTTACCAATGTCAGGTATGATTTGAAAAGAAGGTCCAGGTGTTCTGATTCTTGTTTTTGTTTGTTTACTTGTGTTTTGTTTTGTTTTATTTTGAATGAGGGGAGAGAGCAAACCACAGCACCGAGTTCTGAAATCTCTATAAAGAAATTAATTTCATGTACAAACAAGGGTGAAGTGCAAGCTAAGGGTTATCTCAAAATAGTGAAAGTGACTCTGTAAGGCAATTTGTAAAGAAGTGCTAGATTCGGTAAATCCATTAGAGATCAATATAAGCTAAAATGCTTGCTGGGACCTTGCTGAAGAGAACAGGGAAATGGGCAGCTAGGGGGAACCCTCCAGAAGGAATAAGAAATGTCAAACAGCTACTTAGAGAACTGTACATTCAAGGAAACTACATTGAAATTGATCATTGTGTGCTACAAATGATGTCCTGTGCTTATTAGCTTCATGCGGTCATGGAAAGAGACAGTAAAATAGTCCTGCTTGAAATCACTGTTTGGCAGTGTTAATGGAAACACTCAAGATAGGGCCAACTGAGAAGTACCCGCGTCTATGCAGAGAAATTTATTTCACTAAATAATCCATGAAATCATCAAACAAATAATCCAGTAATCTAACCCTTACGATGAATGGGTAAAATTATGAAAAATGTCAAGTTTGAAGTAAAACATTAAAAATTTAAGACATATTGATGAAAAAATAGGAAAGGCCGTTCAACACACCAAAAAGCAGGGAAAGAAACTTGAGAGTAAACATCTGATGGATTTCTCAGTGACCACTGTTAACAGCTTCAAAGAACAGAAGTCATACATATACTAAATAGGAAAGCAATGGCATTTTAAATTAAAAAAAAATACAAAATAAATTATATAAGAAGCAAACAGAAATTCTGAAGTTGGAAATGATCATATTTGAAATAAAAATTTGCTAGATTTGAACTGGCAGAATAAAGAAATAATGAATTTGAAAATAGAAGATTGGGTACTACACAACCTAAAAATAGCAAGATTGTGGGGGAAAAAAAAGGAAAAATGAACAGGATCTCAAATAAATGTTAGACACTGCTAGCTATGCTGTGTAAGATAGGAGCCACAAAGGCACAGGAGGGAAAAAACAGGGAAGAAAATGTATTCCAACAAATAACTGTTTAAAACATCATAAAATGTGTTGAAAAGCACTAGCCTACACATGCTGAAATTCCTTCAGCAACCCACAAAAAGAATAAACATGAAGAGATCCACAGACACGTTACACACATCTTAAAGTTGTTGGAAGCCAAACATAAGAAACTAGAGGGAAACAATGAAAAATTCTTCACAAGGGAACCCCTGTTAAAAAGCAGGTGACTTTTCCATGGGGACTGAGCCGTCCGGGAAATAGTGAAACATCCTCAGGGTGTTTGCAGAAAAACTTGTTCACCAAAAATCCTATACGCATCAAAACCACCTTTCAAAACTAAAAAGGAAATAAAATTAGTATATTACATACAGATAATAATTGAGAAAATAGATTAAATCAAATTGCCCTCATAAAACAAATGCTAAAGGGATGTATTCCGTTTTCTCTTGGTGCCTAGAAAGTGGGATGTTCCTGTGCCGAGGGAATCCTTCGGTTTTCCCCTGGTACCTAGAATGCTGGAATGTCCTTGCATCTAAGTACAACGACAGCCTTCCTTTTCCTCTTCTGTGCTTGTCTCCTACTCTGTAGGTATGGCCATCATACAGAACTTAGCCCATGCATGTTTATCCAGATTTTCCCAGGCCAGTGTCTACTCGGCTAGTTGCCGGTATCTCTGCTTCTCTAAGACTTCTCTTTTTGGCCAATTTTAAAGCTAGCTGCTCTAGAATACTTTCTGTTTATTATTATTATTATTTTGTTTTATGACACAGTTTATTAGGCGCTGGTGTCTCTCCTCCCCTTTTCCAAGTTCCCTCCCCTCCTACTGAACTCCACTACAGTTTTACAGTACATGTCTTTGGTGAATGTTCACAAGTTCATTCGCTGCCCTTGAGGTGTCTCCCTACAATGTAGGCACGGACAGTGTTGGCGATTCCAACATCCAACATTCGGGATATTATCTGCCATTTCACTGTGAGTCCATCCTTATACCGCACACATAGAAACATACTTCTCTCTGTTTTCACCTATGAACATATTAATTTCTGCTACAACTCCATTATGCATCCCTTTAAGTACAGAGTCCACCACGGGGAGAAAAAACAGTGAGCCTTCATCCACATGAAGTTAACGATAACAAAGGTATCAATGCGATGCTAGGGTGGTTAAAAAGAGTGTCAAGAATCTTCATGTAGCAACAGAAGCCAATGTGTGTCCCATGTAGCACTAATGAAAGTACAATAAGGACTATATCATCATTACTATGGGCAGTAGCAATCACAGTGATAAAAGGGACATTAACAATCTCAGGTGATTGCAAGCAACAAATGGCTAACAGGCATATGAAAACTGCCCAAATCCCCTGGCAATAAGAACAATTCAAGCAAAAACAACACTGAAGTTTCCACTTAACTCCAATAAGAATGGCCCACATACAGAAAACTACCAACAACAACTACAGGCAAGGTTGCAGGGGAAAAGGGAACCCTATGGCACTGCTGGTGGGAATGCATACAGATGCAACCATTACAGAAGTCACGATGGCGAATACTCAGGCAACTGAAAATTCACCTACCACATGATCCAACAATCCCACTTCTAGGAGTATATCCAAAAGACTTGTTACATGGGAAAGCAACATGCACCCCTATGTTGATTACAACACAATCAATAATTGCAAAAACATAGAAGCAACCTGAATGCTCATTGACAGAGGACTGGATAAAGAAACTGTGGTTCATCTACTCTGTGGACTATTACTCAGCTATTAATAAAAGAAAGAAAGAAAGAAAGAAAGAAAGAAAGAAAGAAAGAAAGAAAGAAAGAAAGAAAGAAAGAAAGAAAGAAAGAAAGAAAGAAAGAAAGAAAGAAAGAAAGAAAAAGAAAGAAAGAAAGAAAGAAAGAAAGAAAGAAAGAAAGAAAGAAAGAAAGAAAGAAAAAGAAAGAAAGAAAGAAAGAGAAAGAAATAACATTGTTTTCTGCCAAATGGGTCAACCTGGAGATGATTATGCTAAGGCAAATGAGCCAATCCCAAAAGGTCAGATATCATCTGTTTGCTCTAATATAAGATAGCATCCATTAAAAATGCACAACAATAACAACAAAGATGAGAACAAATCAACACATATAACCCCAAAATCAAAGGATGTAACAGTGACCAGAACACCAGGAATCAAGGAAAATGAAATAAATGCATTTCTACGAAAGAATGCAGGTAAGCATATACCTAATACATCTAATTGTAAGAGATTATGCCTTGACAAGGCTCAATGCTAACATGGCTAGAGGAGGCTTTGCACATCATCCCAGGGAACGGCTCTTTCC